AATAGATACCTTTCAAAGCGAGTATCTGCTTGTGTTCTATCGCAATGCACATCGTAACTATTTTCTGCACGGCTAAAGTGTTAAGAATATACATTGTTGTATGCCATCTGAATCGATGTACAATTTGAACATTAACTCAAAATAATACAGCTTGTTGTTATATTTAAATGATACTCAAAGGTGGCCAGAAACACACGCCACTATACTTCTTCACATTGTTCTATCAAAATCACCATCAGCCATAATCAATCCACTGCTGGATGAAGGCCTCCGCAAGCCACCACCATTTCTTACGGTCTTGCAATGCAAAATCTGCCTAGGATTGAACATGAGCTGATTTTCTCACTCTTATCTCCACGGTTAAGGTCCTCCTGGGCCTGTTCCTCATTTGACTGCCACTCCATTGTTAGTCTCGACCACCGGCAAGCATTCTTATTTTTGACATATCTTGTCAAAACCACTTACTTTCCTTAACAGTCAATGTGATTTCTCCAACTTGTGTTTGTTCTCTGATCTATGTGTTCATCTTAACATCTCAGCCCCAACTTGTCCTTCCCCTTGCACCTCGGATTAGCACGGTTGGCTAGGTACGGTGCGAAAGAAGTTAAACGTACATAATTAGGTATAATCACTCACGGAGTACTTTTTTCAAGTAATTCAGCACCACCCTTCCATTATACAGTACAGTTATAGCAACGTAAAAAAACATCACAATAATTTATTGACGTCAAGCACACTTTGTACCTTTGAAAATGTAAGGTTCCAGGCCTTAGGGCAATGTATCATTGCTGTACCTGGGCAGTGCCTGTTCACAATTGTGTTTAATCCAAGTGATGTCAACGCAAAGAGGCCTGGGCTTGTGAGTGTGACCCTTGGCCAGTGGCTTCTATGTTTACAGTCCACAGATTGATAACCTCGGGGCAAATCTTCATGACTGTGCAGGATGTTAATGATAAATTATTTCAGAGACCAAAGAGCGTGTTATTTGCCAGCGATTTACAGTGAAGAATTGTAAAATAAAAAAAAGAGCAAGTTTGGCACAATTTGGAGTGGAAATATTTGTAAAAAGCCATCTCCACGTGGACGCGGCTATATTTGGAATATATGAACAGTCTGCTAACCAAAGCGTCTCCTTTTCGTGATTTACAGATGTGTTTTTTTCTGCTGAAAATAGCTCATTAAATCCAGTAATGGTGTTGAGAAAAAATGCCGGAACGGAAAAAAACAGGGAAAAACAGCACTTCAATCATTAGCACAAACTCTGCACGGAACAGGTGGATTTACTGTTGCGGTAATGTGTGAAACAAAACACACGCACTGGGGGGTAAGCATGGTTTATGACAGGGGATACCATCAGAAAATAAGTCTTCTTTTATTTTGCAAAGCAGCTGCAGCCTATGTCTTCTCTGTGTGGGGTTGTAATGTATCTGGCAATGTCCATTACAGGCCCCCGCTGCTGCACAAAGAGTAATAACAATGCATCATTTACAGATTTTGTCAATCCACTGCTGGCTTGCCAAATTCTCCCCACGCCCTGTCAGTTGTGGGGGTTGGTTGGCCATACTACACCACACTGGACATCACGAGTTGGTCAAAGGGTGGATGATGCGAGTGTTCGCTCAGAAAACCCTCATCACTGGTGTTTCCCGTGGCGGAATCGAACTTAGGTTGCCGGCTTCATAGTGCAGTGTCCTAACCACAAGCCACCTTCCCACCCCCGCAGAGAAAATTCCAGAGGTTTCGATGTGTTGTTAAGCGCTTCAGTGGGAGGGGGTTCGTGCTCTTCGCTATGACAAAGATCCCCCGTCTAGCCTTAACAGACTGATGGGGCAAGTGCTGTCAGCGAGCACCTATGAAGGCCGGCACGGCATACGAGGGGTTAGGTGGCCAGAACCACGTGGCGATGTTCACACATCGACGTAGGACCGATTGAGATACAGTAATCATCACTTATGTTGGTCCTGAGCGGGAATTGAACTTGGGTCGCCGGGTTCGAATCGCAGCGCGCTAACAGCTACACTACCGCTCCCCACTCTGCTGCTATGAACCCAGACAGTCACTGGCTAACATCAGTGACGAGTATCTTTGAATCGGCCCTGGGCACCAACTCACCTTAAATTGTGCCCTGACCACCGCGATGAAGTATGGTCAACTCACCTAGCCGCTGTGGATTGACATTACGTTACAGTATTTATTGTGTTCCAAATAATCCGGTGAACATCGTGTAATATGTATGTATATCACTGCATTGAACTTTAGATAGTTAGAATGTTAAACGTTTGATTGATAGACTTTATTTTATGAGGTGAAAACCCATTGAGACTTGAAGTCTATTTTTCAAGGGTGGTCTGGGGATATTCTACATGATTTCGTCACAATTGTACAGAAATGGCAATCACGTGAAAAATATACAAGCATTTATACTAAAAACACACACTTGTACGCATTCCATAATTGGGCATAGCATGGATGTTCTTCGTGGAGATGGAGCCGTGAAATTAATTTACGTGCAATAGCTAGGTGGATCATAATATCGCAGGATCGTCAGTGGCAGTGACTTGGGGAGGCCTCCATCCAGCAGTGGATTGACCATGGCTGCTGCTGCATTGGCCATCCAATACAATACAGCACCGTGGATTATAATGGGGCATATTATATGCGAATTGAAAATAGCGCTCTAATCCACTGTGCTTAAATACTTAATTAGTTTATTTTACAAGCTGAGAAGCAATTTAAGACGTTCGAATCTCCGTCATTGGCGATCTGAGTAAGTTAAAATTTCCCCCCTGATATTCAATTATTACGAATAATAAGCACACGACATATACACACACGTATTAAAATTAAATAAAAACAGTTTTAATCATCTCGTAATTGGGCATACAATAATTACAATACTCTTGCTAATCGACACTTGTAGTGAAGCGGTCCAGTCGTCTCTGCTTAATGCGCGTGCACGCACGCACGCGCATGCACTTTATACCAATCCAATAATTGTGGCCACTTTGCCTGCACGCATTACTTGTAATACCTGCTTATGGATGTGCAGCCCTGTAATAATTTACGAGCATTAATCATGCGTCCAAGCCAAGAGGGTCTTGTGCCAGCATGTGTTTGAGTCTGTCAATGCGTGTGTTTGTCTGTGGTCTCTTTGTATTTGTGTTGTATCTGTGTGTGTGTTTCTACGTATGGATGCCTCTGAATGTACGTATGTGTCTTTGGTCTGTGTGTGTGTGCGTTTGTTGTGTCTCTAGTGACAATTAGCACCCCCTAGGTAGAGTCATCCTGAAATGATTACCTGGTGCGATGTGTCAACAATGGCACTAGGGAGACAAAGACGGATGGGCGTTGTGCTGGACACAGAATCTCATCGTGTGCCGTTCCTGTCTTCATAGGTGCTCGCTAACAGCCCCGACAGTCTGTTAAGACTCAACGGGGGGGGGGGGGGTGCTTGTATTTTGTTCCTCTGCATGTGTACGCATGTTGTGGTGGTGGTGTCTTTTTGTGAGCGGTGGCGCAGTGGTTAGCGCACTGCGCTACGAACCCGTCGACCTGCGTTCGATTTCCGACCACGGCCAACATAAGTGGCGAATATCTGAACCGGTCATGTACCTCCTCTTGGTCCACTCGGCCTTAAACGAGTTTCTGGTATGGCGAATACATATGTGATGTATACACATCAAAGGCTACACGGCATATATATTTTCTCTTTATATGCGCGTGCGTCTGTTAATGTGTGGGCCTGTAATCTCTACACGTGTGTGTGTGCTTATTCGTGTGTTTGTCCGTGTTTGTATTTAGTCTGGGTGTGTGTGTACATAAATGTATGTACTGTACATTAATGTACGCCTTTGTGTGTGTGTGGGGGTCTGTGTACTTGTGGGGAGCGGTTAGCGCGCTCACTCAAATGAGTACCTGGTGCGGTGTGTAAACATCGCCACTGGGGAGACAAAGGCGGCCGGGCGTGGTGCTGGCCACCCACCCCTCGTGTGCCGTTGCTGTCTTTCGTAGGTGCTCGTTAAAAGCGCTTGTCCCAACAGTCGGTGAAGGCTATACGGGGGATCTTTGTCTTTGCGTACTTGTGTAATCACTCACGACTCCACATTTCTGAGTGTTTCCCACCAATACTCGGCAGGAAGCAATCAAACTCCCGATCAGAGAGAGATGTCGAGCTGTCCGTCTCTCCTCTCTCTGTTCGACTCTCATTCCCAGTGTCCGGGATGATTATTCCATCGTTGGCGGCGGTGAATGGTGGCTGAGCGTGGCGAGGTTGGTCGATGAACCAAATTCGTTGTATTCCATCGTGGTGATTGGTGGCTGTGGTCGCACTTTGTATCTGAACCGCGTCATCGTCTCTCACCTCTTGCGCAGACGAGGCTTCTTCACCAGACTGTTGGGGAGAGTGGTGTTAGCACCAATGATTTAATATCCTTTGACAGCCACCATGCCAAAGAGACAAAGATCCCCCGTGTAGCCTTGAACAGACTGTTGGGGCAAGTGCTGTTAGCGAGCACCTATGAAGGCCGGAGCGATACACGAGGGGGTGGGTGGCCCACCAACACGTCTGACCGCCTTTGTCTCCTTAGTGGCGATATTTACACACCGCACCAGGTACTCATTTGCGTCTGAGTCCACCTAGGTGATGCCCAGGACCGGTTCAGATATTCGTCGCTGGCGCGTTGGCCGTGAACAGGAATCGAACGCAGCTCAGCGGCGCTAACCACTACGCTGCCGCTCCCCATACCTATGCCACACACACACGGACACATCTGTCACTCCGTCGTTTCTACGACGCCCAACCTCGCGGTGCCGAGTGAGTCACTTGGGATTAACTCGGCCGCTTTGCAGCGCACGCCGCGTTCCATTCCGGGGTGGGGTGGGGGGGGGGGCGCGCTGGTTCCACGGGCCAACCAACAAGAGACGCCAGACGCGTCCTCCTCCACCACCTCCTCCTCCTCCACCACCTCCTCCTGTCGCCACACGCGCGCACGCTCGCGCCCCTCTCTCTCTCTGCTCTTCTTGCGCCCGCGGCTCATCGGCCTCCGCTGCGTTGGTGATTCAATTTGCGCATCTCTCGCTCGCGTCTCTCTCTCTCTCTTCCCAAAACCGCGCGGCACCGCAAACGCGCGGCGCGCATGCGGCGAGCTGCACAATCCCAACTCGTAAAGCCACCCACCACCACCACCACCACCTAACCACCGTCACAGCCCAGCCACCCCCCACCCCCCTATATTACCCCCCCCCCCCACCCGTGACATAGTTCACCGAGAGAGAAGTCGTTACGAGAAGACAGCTTGGGCTTGCTTGGCTGTGATGAGGCTTGCGCTGAGAAGTGCATCCTGATTTGTCGTGGGATGGGCTGAGCATCGGCGCTCCGGGATACTGCTCGGTGCCGGCAACATCATCAGCAGCAGCTAACGGGCAGACCACGGACTGTTCGTCATCCCTGGCGACCCTGGTTGCCCCATACCTGTTGGATTCGCAGTGGATTTGGATATCCCGCACTGGAGGTAAGTGCCTTTGCGTTGCTTGCTTGGTGGCGGTCTGTGTTATTTATTCCTTAGTGGTTTGTGTTGTTCCTGAGTGGTTTGTGTTGCTTGCTTGGTGGCCTATGTTGTTCCTTAATGTTTTGTGTTGCTGCTTGGTGGCCTGTGTTGTTCCTTAATGTTTTATGTTGTTGCTTGGTGGCCTGTGTTGTTCCTGAGTGGTTTGTGTTCTGCCTGAGCGGAATGCGTTTCTGGTTGGTGATTCGCGTTGCTGCCTGGTGTGTACTCCCCCTTGCATCGCTAAAGCGCCGGTCGCTTTCCTTCCGAACCCGGCTAGGAAAAGAAAAAAAACACACAACCCGAGTTCGATTCCCGACCACAACTCGCACAAAGTGGCGAGGGGTACCACACTGAACCGGTCCTTGGTTGACCATCCGCCTCGAATTGAGTTATGTACCTACCTGTCGGTGCGGCGTTTAAAAAAAGGCCATTCAGCACCCGGTAAGACGAGCGGCCGAGCGTGCTCTTTGGACCACACACCACCCGCACACCTCCATCATGCGCTGCATTTTGTCCTCAAATTAACGCGACAAATGTGCGCGATCCGTGGTCGGGGATTATTGACGGCGGGGAGGCGTCTTTGTCGCTGCCGATGTTGGGCACAACCTCGTGCGTGCCCGCTGATTTCACCTGGACGTCAGCGCTTCCCCTCGTTAGGAGGTCGTCACCAGAGGTCCCCCCCCACCCCCCACACGAGCCCCCCATCTCCCTCCCTGAACTGATGGATAATGTTACCTGTTGGCGAGAAAGAAACTGACCGCTGTATGGAAGATAACCTCACGTGCCCGTTCGCCCGTGAGTGGAGGCGTGCCTTTTAAATGTCAAAAACGCGAGAGGTCATTATTCATTGTGATGGTGTGATGGGGTGGGGGGGGGGTGTTTGTTGTCTATTATGCACGAGCCTTTGGCTGGCGAACTCTCCGGTTGTTCGGCACGATGTCCGACGTTTCGCTGTTGAAAAAGCTCCCAGCACGTGGAGCAAAACGGCGGACATCGTGCCGAACTACACTGGCTACAGCCCAAAGCCGTATCGGTGGGCGGGGGGGGGGTGAGCTAAAGCAGAACAAAGCACGAAAACCTAAGCGAAGTGTTTTGCTTTGTCTTGTTGGCTTTTGTCTTGGCGCGCTGTGATGTATGCGCCCCTAGTTTCTGCTGTTTGTACAGGTAGCTGGTATGTTTGCAAGAGTTAAGTGGAACAGGTATGCGCAGTGACCGGTAGGTAACACGTACGTGTTTTACGCTCTCGCTGAGAGTTTACGACGCATGGATAATGAAACAGTGAAATCTTTGACATTTCACATTTTAAAAGATTAATAATTGAAGCGTTTGCCTAGAATCAAGGTTACGCCTATACGCTTTTTGCTCTCGAATCTGTTAATTTAATCCATTAATCAGCGCCACGACAGCTGGGCCGCTATTTAATTAGCAGAGAACTTGAAGTAGACTAATTCTCGCCGGCGTAAGGGAATGCATTCGATTACAAAGACAATTAGTGACATCGCGATTTTACCCGAGCAAAGCACCGTGGTAAAACATTAAACAAGTGTGCTTCGTGTTGCGCTGCAATCGTCAGGACGGTGTTTATTTATTGAACGTATTGATATCCATTTCAACTCCTTGTAATGTAATGTGCGAGGGAGCGGTGGCGCAGTGGTTTGGCGCATTGCGCTATTGAACCCGGTGGCTCAAGTTCAATATCCGGTCACGCATAACGTCAGCGGCGAGTGTTGTCTCAACCTATCCTGCCTCCCCCACCCCTCCCCAATCCCCTTCACCAACTTGCACCGACCAGCCAGTTGAAGTATGGTCAAACAACCTCCACAAGCGACTCTGCGTGCTGATGCCATCACCCAGCAGTCGATTGAAACAACAAGGGACTGAACAACGGAAAACGGTATAATAAACACGCGGGCGGGATTGCATTTCACCGTTTGATACGATTGACGCGTTACACCGTATTTATCTGAACGAAATAATGTTCGCAATCGATTCGCAAATGCAACTTTTGAATATTTGGAACCCGTTGCCGTGAATAGGGGATGTACGTGACGATGTACGTGGCACGTGCGTTCTCGTGCGAGTCGACGAATGCGGGCAGGAACACTATGAGCACGTCTCGCGGATGCAACGATGCTTAATCTCTAGCATACAAGGGCTGTCGATGTGAGATTGCGGGCTCCGGGGTAAAGGTCTCAATCGTAAACGTTGCTCAACAGAGCACAGAGGTGCGCACCGGGCAAACAGCACCCGGAGCGCAGTGCCGCGTGGCCATACAAACGCGGCACGCCACCACCACGGAATTATCTACACTGCGCCATACGCAGCAACGGTGTCTGTATCTCGCGTATAAAGACATAGATGCCCCCCCACCCACCCCCATATTTAGCCTTGTACGTGGAATGAAGGAGCAAGGGCTGTTTGCGAGCACCTAGTAAGGGCGGGTTCGAGCAGAGAGGGATGGGATGGGGGTGTGGTGGAAACGAGCAGCACGGCTGGCCGTCTTTGTATCCCCAGGGCTGATGTTAACACACCCGCACCAGGCGCTCATTTATGGCAGTCTGGCTCGGGTATGTCAGGGCCAGACAACCACTTGCATGGTCAGTAATTGAATCCAGGTAGGTTTGCAGATATAGCACGTGTATTTTATTAGAGATAGTATGATAACTACCCATGACGAAGATGAATAACACGAAAGCAATGTTTTAAAGACTGATACTTTGCATAAAAAACGAAAGGGCAAGATTCGTCTTCTTGGTTCTTTCGGTAAAGTCATGTAGAAGGGAAATAATAAATAATAAAAATAAAACATAATAAAATAATTCTCACGACGTTTCGGCCACAACGCAAGCAGCCGTCCTCAGGTGAAGAACAGGTCTGTCGGAAAGACAGCTGTCTGAATGGAGGCAGGATTCGTGTAAACATTTTAAACCCTGAGAATCTAAACGTGCCTAGATGTAAATTATTTTTTAATTATTAAAGGTGAACTAGTACCTTTGGAAAGTCAAGTTGAGTATCCATTAAATTTGCCATGTAACTACATTGTGTCTACAATGCATCATATATGATGGCCATAACAGGATTTCTGCTGAGTGCGTGCTAACTTACTTTACTATGGTAGAGGTAAATACTCCAAGGCAAAGGATATTACATCATAAAAAGCAGTTTGCCCTCTTTGTTAAGTGCAATATGTGCAGGCACTGCTAGAGCATCTATTATCATTCTTGACTATATAAGAATGATATGCTTTTGTTCAACCATATTTTTTCGTGATACTGCATTGGCAGTGGTGCACAAAGCACAAATCACACCAACAACAACAACAACAACAATTGAGCGCATTTGTTAATAACACTGCCCTAAACAGGGGGGGGGGGCGGGGGGGGATGTAAGGGCAACATCGCAGGCATTGGACCTTCTTCATCGCAGAGAGAATTCGTTGAGTGTATGCTTTTGTTTCGAGTGTATTCTATACTCTGCATCAGATGGAACTTGTGCAGTCAAACCTTATTTAGTATTGTCTACTGAGGAGCGTTACTGCTAAATGGACATATGTTTAACTTCTTTCGCACCGTACGTAGCCAATGCCACAGGCCAAGTATTTGTTTTTGAAGCGATGTCTTAAAAAAGGAGATTCTGAAATCAATTTGAATTCTATGACTCGCCCTTCCACATCGCAAACTGCGTAGCTTTTTTATAATAAACCGGCCGCGCACAAATGATAAAAAAATATTAATTGATGTGTTAAATATTTGATGATGCTGCAAACATTTTAATTACGGTCAGAACACGAAACGTGTGCCTGTTATTCAGTCAAATGTGGTTTTAAAGGAGCGCAATGCTTCATAAACAGGTACAAAGGTCAACTGTGATTTTTTTTCCATGACTTTTTGCAACATTCGCATGTTATAACTTGAATGGGCATTGTCTTGTGTGAAATCCACAGTCGTCAAAGCTGATTTTTTTTTTCTCTCTTCAAATTTCCCCCGCAGATTTTGGCTGCCGCCTTTGCCCTGTGCCTTTTCGGCACGTACGCTGATGCCAGAAAACAGAAATGTATGGCAATAACACCACCTTTAACAAGTAAGTGGCTTTACTGTGTTGACCGTAACCTGGCGTCGTCACTTAAATGTATACCGGTCTCTGTAAAGTGCAGTCGAGTGTATTTTGTCGAAGGAAATGTGGTAGCAGTAACACGATGGACCATTTAATGAGTGTACGTGGACGAATTGGTGTAATTGTTTAACAAGTTACCACATGTTTACTCATACAATATTATTCTTTTTTTTTACTTTGTAATTGAGACGAAGCACTGATTTGGAACACTTGCAGAGCAATGCAATCGCCCCTGTGCAATAGAACATTGCCTGTATAAGAATATTATCAGAACTACTGCCAAGGTGCTTTCGAAGTGACCTCTTCATCCCCTCCGAGTGTGGATTAGGCTTTCCCACTCACCCTACAGAGAATACATGTCCATCGTTTTAACAGGCAAATCAATTCATTATTTGTTCTCATTAATTTTTTTTTACCAGGATGATAACATTAGCTCGCTACGCTTGAGAACCCTGGATAATCACAGGTGGCTGCCAAGATAAGAACCCAAGATCTTATGAGTGCCATCTCGGTGCATTGACCCCTAAGCCACCACAAGTCACCTATTTTTGTTGGTGTCTCTTGAGTATATTCATTTACCCTGATATCCATTGCAGCCTCTGCCATTTGATACTTTTCAAATGACACGTGAGCGTTTGTGACTATGGAAAGCTTACACCAATTGCATATTTTATGTCGTGAATGAAAATATAAAAACAAATGTTGATCTGAAGTGCACAGAGCGTGAAGACGTGACGTTTCTTTAAATAGATGCTTCAGAAGGTGGCTTTAAGAAATGAGACAAGTCTGCAGGTGTTAAACATGTTGTCACAATCGAACGCGGTGCACAAAAGTGGACCAGACTTAATTTACACATTTTGTGGAGAAACTCTATCTAGGAGATGTATCGGCTAGCTTGAGATATTTGTGATGTTATATTCTACATTGAAAAGAACTTCAAGATAGCATTGGCTTAGACACCGACATAAAATTTCGCACCAACTTTTCTGGCATGTCAGGGTATTAGAAATGCAGCCCACACATTCCGTCATTAACATGCAGGTAAATGGGCATGCAGTGAACAAGAGTGGGCATGTAGGTGTAAGGCTTGCCAACATGAGATATCTTAATCTTTTGTCTAATTTCTCTTTACTTTATGGGTTCTGCCTAGAATATATCTAATTAAACAGAATACAGTAGTCTCATAGCTACAGTGGTATGCGTGCTTGGATATTAATTGCACAAAACACAATTCCGCACACAGTATTGATAACAATAATGCTATTCAAACGTCATTCTGTGTGGCTCGCCTTTATCGCACAATATGGAATGGGTTCTGAAAAAGCAGGCGTGCACAAAACAGAAAATGAAAGTGCAATTGCCTTCAATTGTTTTACTTTTAAAAAAAAAATGCAATATTGTTCAACATTAATATCTTTTGGAAAAATCAATTGTGGCACCTAGTAATTGCTGCATGCTTTCTACAATTCATCGGTACGGAATGGAAAATTGCACAGAATTGCTTTCCGCCTTCATGACTTGCCCATCTCTCAGTGATTGGCGTTGTATTGGAGAAGACCGTTGTCAACGCATGTGCAAATGGTGAATTTTGTCTTTTTGCAAAGAGCACATTTGGGTTTGAAATGAATAGTTAAGTATTTTTTTGTATAAAAAAATAACAACGTTCAATCGGTTATTCCCGAGAATTAAGTGGTGGCGTGGAAGCATCGTGGTTAGCACACCGCAATATGAAGTGAATGACCTGGATTTGATTTGCAGCAATGGGTAATGCCAGCCAGTGATGAGTGATAGCTGAACCACTCCTGAGTGCCCGCACTCCTTCATCAACCTACATTGACCAGGGTGGTGAAGTATGGTCAAACAACCCCATTGAGAGACACTGGCGTGAGGAGGCTTTCGTCCAACAGTGGATTGATGAAGGGCTGTAAAAAAAATCTAGAGAATGAAGTGGCATGCGCATCTCATCTGGTTATTCATTGGATATATTCGGTGGCTATTTAAAGTATGGCCAGTAGGTTTGGAACACAGCATCATGGTTAAATACTGAGCAAATGAGAGATCGTCTTCCGAGCAGACTGAGCTGGCGAACATATGGCTAAAATGTTTTTCTCAAAAAATAACAACGAAACCGTTTGGTTCAAAGTTATTGACTTGTTTGTTTGTTTGTTTCACACTATAAACTATCCTGCTGTTGGTACAAATTATTATTTTAAAGCTCAGTAGAGCATTTGATAGGTTTTTTGACCACGATCAAAGACGCAGCGTGGTAGCACTTTGCCTGCTCGAGGTGGCTGCGGCTAATACCACGTCCCTCTTTGCTCTTGTCATCCCGTAAGCGATGATACATCCAGCCAAGCCGAGAAGTACATCCTTGCCGGCATCTTCTCCATCATCATCGCTGTGACCATTCTGGGCAACCTGCTGGTGGTGGTTGCTGTGTGCAAGGATAGACACCTCCGGTGAGACCCTCTGTCGATCATCAGGTCCAACGACCTATGTGGAGACGCAAAGTAGTTTTGCGTAAATATGCCATTACCCATGACGTTCCACGGCAGGGCGTAATGAGTTTGTGCAGGGCATTGCTTCTTGCATTGATTGGAGTCACATAGGTTGCATGGTGTGATCTTTCCAGAGGCATCTCGTAATTGTTTTACCAACCTGCCTCTGCTGATGAGACCCAGAAGGTTGAAATTTGTCCACAGTTTGCTCATTTTTAGCAAATGCTGCTTGATAAAATTGACGTGGAAATCGAAAAGTCCGATGGAACAAACAATCGTTGTATTCACGTATGGAGACACAGAGAGCGGAGTTTATACTTTTATCCAGTCCACCTGCAACCCCCCCCCCCCCGCCGCCCCCTCAACCGGGACAGAAACAAACCGCAGGTGTAAACTGCCTCGGAACACTTTCAGTGCACGCGTTCACTCGGCTGGGCCCCGTGGTTACGTTTGCAGCGATGGCTTTAAGCCATCCCATTGATTGTTCCAGAAACATAAGAGGAGAACATTGGCAGCGGATCCTCATTTGACCCTTGCAGGTTGGCTCGGTGTTACACAACCACACCCCCTTCCCCCCCCCCCCTCTCCTCTTATAATCCATCTGAAAAGGAGAAAAAAAAGCAATGCGCAAATGCATCTTTTGTGTAATGGCACCACTTGTCCGGATATAAATCCCATTTAAGAGGATGTGTTTCCTACTGGAAGGATTAGTGTGGAGTTTGGTCAGCATTGCTCACATTTAAAATGTATTTGCAGCAGAACGAGCGTCGCTGTGATATCAAACGCATTTATGGTATAAAATTGTCTACAGTGACACAGCTATTCCAAGTAGGTATCTGACCTTGTACCAATCACCCACCCCCGCCTTATCTGCTTCACCAGATTTGTACAGACGTAGAGAAAACATCTCTTCCCCCCCCCCTTCCCCCATGTCATATACTATATTATAATGGGTTTACCCTGCTAGCTGGTTGACATTGACTTCAAACTATTGCCCACTGTCTCAGCCAATTTCAGAAGCCATCAAAACCTATTTGTCTGCCGTGTGTGAGAGGGACATTCTTTGTACGCCAACGCAACGCTCTATCTGCTTCATTACGCGTACGAGATTCTGAAGCAATAGCTCTATATGAGATTCTGTTTTATCAGACTTCTTGTGGTGGCAGTGGTGTCGTGTGAACTGTCGTGTCGAAAGTGGAATGTGACGTGCAGTATTTTAAATAAGCATGACACACTGACCCTTATGTCCCATATCGCTCGCTGTGGACATCTTTATTTCTGGTCTGTGATGGTGAAACAAAACAATATATAATAATTTCCTTTTATTAACTTGTTAATTTTATTAATATACAAGTCAGTTTATGAGTAGTCCAAATGCAGTCTCTAGAGGGGCCCTCTAGAGCTCCCTCTAGTAAAGGCTCTTCTGCTAGCAGTGGCATGAGCAAAACAATTGCACAGCTGTACCTTTACCCTGTGGTTTATTTGCAAGCTTTTTTGTTTTGTTTTTCTCGCCAAAGTAAATGCCACTTGCTTTACAAAAAATAGCTATTGAATATATTTATTTCATTCGTAGTAGCTTTTGGATGCATGACAGAAAGCAAATAAACAACACACGCAGTTGATATAGACAGTTTTCACGCAGCTTTAATTTACGACACGCTATTATCTTTGTCTGAGGTCCTCATCTGGTGGTCATACACCCAGCACTACCCATTGCATCAAAAATGAAAAACCTTCTCATTAGCAGGCTTTTGGAAAAGGCTAATGGGAATCTAATATGCCCTGTATGGTCTACTCTTATGTTCCCATTAACGCATTCCAGTGGGCATTGTGAGGGATCTGTGGTTGAGGTGCATTATACATTTATTTATTTGTGGATGACAATAGTCAGGATTGTGAGTCACAGCTGAAACATCTTCATGAATTGAGGGTTCAAACTCCCTCCTTATGGTTGAGTTTACATTCCCAATGCGTCGAAAACCTAATTAACAGCCAACTCTGTGAATGTATAAAAATTTCATACGTGTTCATTGCCCAGGTGTTCACGGTTCCCATTTGCGGTTAACCCACTTGCGTTTGTTGTGCAGCAGCAACGAAGGGCATAAAGGGAGCACCATTTATTTTATGCAGCTGTGCTTGCGGGCATTCGCCATAAGGTTAGCAACTGGTCACGGTGGGAAATATGGTATTATATACAAATATGTGCTTGTTAATTCAACTCCGCCTGGAACCTCCGTGAAAAGATGCAAGCTAAATGTGACCCAGAGGCAAAGTATAGAGGCGTGAGATTGAGCTCTTTCCTACCTTGACATGGATAACAGAAATGGCTCTGGCACATTCAACTTTGCTTTGGTGGCTGCACATTAAGTGGCCTCGGCTTCTGAGTCATCAGATTAGCTCACCCAATGCATTGTCAAGTTTTGGTGTACGAGGTGGTGGTTCAATACCTTTTTTAATGGAATGAACGGATGCTTACTTTTCAATTTATAATTGCATGATTGCCGTGGCCACATTTGTTGTGGATACGATGCTAACCCCACAGGGATCCTTTTGTTACTTGAGGTGAGAAAATTACAGCCTCGGGTATAAACCAGTGTCCTTATAATATGCTCTCTGAAGTTAAATGCTGAATCTGTTACTGAGCTGTAACATTTTTAACCTCAAGAATGAGACACTGAACGCATATTTTAATGTTAGGCTTTCCCACCTGATGACGGACGCTTGTGTTGTTGCCCGAAACGTCGTGATTTATTTTATTTTATACTTACGTGACTTTACCGAAAGAACCAAAGAGTATATATTTTAATGTGTTTTTGTATCCCTTTGCCACAAGTTATGATGGGTGTAGGAACAGTTAACAAAACTGACACTTCAAAAAATGTATTCTTTGGGTTTTTTGGTAATAACGAAAAATCTACAACGTTTCGATCGCAACACAAGTGGTCGTCCGTGACTTTACCGATAGACCCAAAGAATATGAATTCCTGCAGTCACGAAAGCTTTAAGTCAAGATTCCAAAATGTTGTCAACGATGCATTCGTTTTAACAATGCCCATGTTAATTTATATCGTTTGTTAGAAAAATCAAGACCAACTACTTCATTGTGTCACTGGCAGTGGCAGACCTTCTGGTGGCTATTCTTGTGATGCCCTTTGGGGCTGTGGAGAGGGTGCAGAACGACTGGCCCTATGGCGACAAATTCTGCATAATTCGCACCTCCTTTGACGTCATGTTTACCACTGCCTCCATCATGCACCTCTGCTGCATCGCGTTGGACAGGTAATTCCTCACCACAACATCTGTCCACTCAACGTCAATTTCCACGGTGGTCCCAAAAACCCCGACCAAAGCTCAATTCATAAATTATCCCCCCCCCCTCATGCCCACATCCTGTGCATATCACCAATCGTAGCCCCGATAGTATTTATCAACCCCAATAACTCTAAACCTCTGCGCATGAAGTTAGACCTACAAATCTGCCTTTCAACCTTTGTGCGCTTGACTGGATCATTGCATTTTAACGCTGGGGTTAGTTCAAGGTTGTCAATAAAAAGCAGATTTTTTGGGTGAACTCTTTGGTACATTGAATAGCGTAACGAAGAATTGGAACTTCTTACAGACTGTGCCAGGTATTTAGTTTCTGATACTTTTGTACTAAGCCAGTTTCCTTGTGACTTTCACAAGTACTGGACTGCATGTAATGCTCATTTTCTTCCATGATCCAAAATTTGTCAAGTACCATAACATGAAGGAATTCTAAAAAGGATAATATTTCGGATAAAATTCATACTTTCAAAGGACTTTCTGGAACATTGCTCTTTTTTAAATACACGGTGTCAGTGAGGTTGAATTCACTTGCACATATGGTACAGGTTAGTGATGAGTCCTCCTTCCCAAGCAATTGGGATTCAAATCCAGCAGTGACTAAACTCAACTCTAATGTCCCACAGTTCACCAATTTGCAACGGAATTCTCAATTTGTGTGCACTGGGGGTAACCATTAATGGGTAATTACACGCTACTTTAAACATATCGGGAGTCAATATGGATACAATGACTGCCATTACTGCTATTGACCACACCTAGTGTAAAAAAAATGTGCACCAGCCTAGAACGCTGTGCCATTATATTGTCTAGGCATGCACAACTATTCTGGTCTCTGAGATTTTTTTTATATGTGCGTAAATCTTCATTTGGACTTTGACTTTGTGCCTGTGCCAATATGCCTTGACTCAAGTCATCTCGTTCTAATATTAGCGCTCAGTTCTGCACTTGGCGCACGGTGGAGATGAAAGACACCGCATATTGCCAATAGCTAACAGCCTCCAAATGTGTTGCACCTCCAAACCAACCGCCTGCTCTCAGCGAGCGCACTTTTATTTCTGCGATCCTCGAGTTCGTCAATCCCCGCTGCGTATTCAATGAGGATAACTTTATTGGCATGAACTGATGCAAGCGCAACGTTGCTCAACAAAGTGTGCCACCCGTGTGCCTATCCATAACCCACTCTGGCAGCCACGTGAGGAATCTTACAAAATGATTGCGGCAATATATCACTCTGCGTTGAAGAAGAACGCTCTGTGGTTGTGCCCCATTTGTAATGGACTTTGATAGGAAATAATTATTTATATCGTGCTTCATTTACAAACAAATGGCATCGTGTTGAAACTTTTATTGAGAAAAAATCGCCAATATTCATCATTATAATATAATTAGTGATAGATTAGAAAAAGACTAAGAGCTCTTACTTCTGTTGTGGGTGCAATTGCCAACCTCTTGCATTCAACTGCGAAACACTCTGTGTACTCAAAACCGACTGCAGGCCAGCAGAAGTTTCGTTTCATTGTCGCAGTAATTTATGGGAAAGCCATTTCATGCAAAAGTCCATTTAAACGTTTCGTGGATTTATCCTTGGTGATTGACAACTCTCAATGGTGATTACTCTGCTTCTCCACTTGCCGCCCCTTATATGTGCACAAAGTTGCCCGTGTGTGTACACTCGGGAAGCTTCAACGCAAACGTGTGTCCGTGTGCAGGTTCTACGCCATTTGCTGCAAGCCCCTGGTCTACCAAAATAAAATGACGCCGCTGAGAGTGGGGCTGATGCTGGGGGCGTGTTGGGTCGTCCCTTCCCTCATCTCGTTCATCCCCATAGCCAACGGCTGGAACATCATCGGCATAGAACAACAGGTGTTTCTCTTGGATGCCTACCAGCCCCTCACTCGGTCGCCGCCATATGTCTGATAAGACTCACATTTGCGGTGGCCTCATTTCAGCCATGTCAAATATATTATTAATTTGTCGGCGACTGTGTTTATATACTGCGTGAATGTGTCTCTATGCGTCTGACAGTAGGATATATGCATGTGTCTGAGTGGTAGTGTAGTGGTTAGCGCACTGCGCTACGAACCCCGGTAACCAATTTCGATTCCAGGCTTTGGCTAACATTGTTGGAGGTATATCTGAACTGGTCCTGGGAGCGTCGCTTAGATTGACTCGGCTTTAAATGGGTAGCTGATGGGGTACGTGTACATCGGCATTGGGGAGAAAAAAGCGGTTGATTGGACGTGGTGCTGGCCAAGCCACCCCCTCCCCCCGTGTATTGTGCTAGCTTTCATAGGTGCTCGCTAACAGCAATTGCCCCATCAGCCTAGGTAGGTTATACAGAGGATATAAGTCTCTATACATCAGTAACATAGCGATGTTAATGCTGGGTTTTTTTTACACGCTGCGTGATGTAAATATAAAAAAGTGTGACTTGTTTTGTGCGAGCTATTTCATGATTTTCTGTTGCTTCGCTGCGGTAACCTAACCTACGAGTCGCGTGCGCCACAGCTTGAGCTCCGGCTAGGTCAGGCGAAGGAGGCGAACCAGACGCACTGCATCTTCATGGTGAACAAGGTGTACGCGGTGGCCTGCTCTCTCGTTGCCTTCTACATCCCCCTGGGGCTCATGGCGGCCGCGTACCAGCGCATCTACGTGACGGCCCGCGCCCACGCGCGCCAGATCGGCTCGCTGCAGCGCGCCGTCTCGAAGGACACCACGGGTGACGAAGTGACAATGGTGACCTCGGGCGCCGCGTCGCCACTGAGGGCCCAGCATCTGGTGCCGGTGGCCCAGGCCACGATGGTGCAAACGCAGTCGACGCGCTTCCGTCACGAGACGAAGGCGGCCAAGACTCTGGCGATCATCATGGGCTGCTTCTGCCTGTGCTGGGCGCCGTTCTTCATCAACAATGTGATCGACCCGTTCGTGAACTATGACACGCCGCCACAGCTGTGGGACGCGTGGCTGTGGTTGGGCTATGCCAACTCGGCGCTCAATCCACTCCTCTACGCGTTCCTCAACCGCTCGTTCCGCCGCGCTTTCCTCGCCATCCTGTGCTGCTGGGACGCGGCTCGTTACCGCCGCTCGTCCTTCAGCGGCCACTCCGTGCGCTACTCCGTCAGCACCAACGGCAGCACTGTCCAGCCGGTGCCCAGGTGAGCCGTCCTGGCTTCGGCATGCTCGTGTACGTGCATGGTTTCTCCCTTTTCAGTATTTAGCTGCTTGGAGAGATGTTTACCGGTAAGAAGTGTAGAAGCACTGGTGTCTTATTATATCTAATTGCCGAACACTTTGCTAATAGGGTGGGAGCGGTGGTGCAGTGGTCAGCGCGCTGCGGTATGAACTTCACGACCTGGGTTTGATCCCTGACCACAGATAATATATTACGCGAGTATATATTCCAGCTGGCCTTTAACCCCCACTTCACCAAGTCGTGCTGATCAGCATATGGAAGTATGGTCAAACAATCCCACGTGACTGAAAATTTTAAAACATTAGTATTTTCTTTCCCCCCCCCCCCCCCCACCAGTGTATTCCAATTGTGCTAATGTCTCGAGGCGAAGACTTAGTTTAGGATCTCACAGAGCAAACACACCTGATGTGTCAGAGAATGTCTCTCAAAAAATCCTTCCAGTGGCCTTTCCCATGCCCTCTGCAGTGAGATGGTTTGCCACTTGGCAGTCAAACCATTATTTTCAATTTTCAGAACTGGAATTTAGCTAATAAAGTTCAAACCAAATTTAAATACGATGTGTTTTTTCACGTGTGTACAGTCATTAGTCACTGAGCTAAGAACATCAACTCGCTCTACTTGATGCCCCGGTTTTCGAACCATAACTGGTTGCCAGGATTCAAGCCCGGGTTCTCAGTGGTGCTGGCTCAGCACTCTGACCCACCACGTCACCTCATGTAAAATTATTGTACTTATTATGATTATTATTACTACGACTACACCTTAGCCAATTGGCAATTATTTAATCGGTGTTTTGGATGAGGGGTGGGGGGGGAGTTGCAAAATTTAATACGTGAAAAAAAATCCTTCTGTTCCCAATTGAGGAAACAGTGTCAATATCCAGTTCTTACCAGTCGGGCACTCGCCTGATTTTATTGTTTTATTGTAACACGGTTGGTAGTTCAGGGTCCAAGTGTGTGTTTATAGGTCGTTAAACAAATACTTGCATAGTATGTGATAGCAATTCCTTCACTTGTTACATTACTTTAAGTGGTACGTATTCCACGGTAAACAGAATGCCTCTGGGTGCTATGTCACATTGCATTTTGCTTGCTGGCGAATCGTGGATTTTTTTTTAATATGAAGCAGACTTCAAATGGCTCACAAGAATAATTCAATATTCTGTGTTGTGGCGCTGTTGGAATGTTGTTTTGTTGCCAAGAGATGGATGTCCATTGAAGCCACATGGGCAACACAAGCAACAGCGTCGTGGCTTATCAGCCACCTTATTTTTAGCACAACCTCTTTTGTTTTTAGATAAAATGCTTTATGTAACTTTTGATCTGGGTTAAGGTACAAAGGTTCGTTGTAACTGAAGGCGATAAGCTCTATTGCAGGTCTCTCGCAAGTTGTAAAATGCTGAAGGTGTGCGTGAAGCATGGCACTTGGTGCTGCGTTACTTATTCAGCATCATTTTTAAAACGAGGGTATATCACCGGTTTGATTTAAGATCTTTCCCCCCCCCCCTTGCACTTTACTAGGAAAGCCAATTAGATGCAATTGAGCACTTAATTAGTTTTCAACCTGTCTTTGTCTGGAATTTCACAACTGGTGGCACATATATATAAACGTTCAGAATGGCAATTGGTGACTTATTGTCGGTAACAAAAATAGTTTTTTTATGGAGGAAGAAGACGTGCAGACATCGCTCCGATTCGCAACCGTCTCTCTCTCCGATTCCCAGTAAGATGGCTATAATATGCTTGTAATGAAATCTTTTCCACCACTCTTGAATTAATCGGAATACAGTTTGATGAGCTCTAGCTCATGTTACCCTGCATGTTGGATGCACATGTGCAAGTCCACTCCTACGTGCATGTAGCGTTGTTTTGAATATTTTAAAAAGGGCTATTAGCTGTGATGTTTCTACGGATATTTAGTTTTGTAAAACCAAATATTTGGTGTACACAGGATTTGCAGTCTTTGATGTTTTTTTTGCCCCACTTCCTCATGCTAAGTAATTGTGGAAGGTTGTTGCTCAGCTGCATGACTTATTTGCCTTTCGAAGTTTACCTGCAGGTGCCTTCATTTATTAACATCAAGTCAAAGGGATTTCCTGCTCTAATGAGCGTTGAAGCAAGTACACATCTGCTGTTTACAGCATTTAATCCAGTGGTGGAAATTCCACATTTTTATGACAGAGTGAGTCCATCCTTAGGACAATTATAATCACTTGCCCACAGAGCTTGTGCTCATCCTTTCAACACCAAAATATTAGTGGATTGAATCGAGCACCAAATGGCATTTTAACTTGCGACCTCCCGATTGTGAACTGCACGCTCGACCGCTGTGCCTCCCAGCCAGACATAATTTTCTACAAATATATTTTCATAAATTATAGCCATTCTCAATCCAATGCTAGATGAAGGGCCACCCCACACGATATTGGCAGTGCCAGATTAAGCTAGTGCGGGGCCTGTAGCATATATTATAAAGGGGCCCAAAGATAAAAAAAAATATTAAAACACAAATTTTAAAATCTTGACTTAAAGCTTTTGTAACTATCTACGTGACTTTACCGAAAGACCCAAAGAATACAAATTTTTTACTTGCGTAGTAAAGTAATTTTATTTTTATACAGCCAGATAATACGACAAATCGCTATCCTTAAACACCCAGTCGTTCATAAAAGTTGAAGGCACTATAGTACTATAGTAATAGAGCAAGTGCATAATCACTGAACCGGCATTAATAGCTTGAAAGCATTTACCGCGGGGCCCTTGAAAGTGCGAGGCCCGTAGAATATATTAGTTTTGCTACTAGGATAGTCCGGCACTGAATATTGGTCATAGGATTTTTTTTTACTTACCATACTTCACGCTGCTGCTAGGTGTGGGTTGGCAAAGGGTGGACCAGGACGGCCCCTCCCCCTGCTGCCCCCGCTGAAGGGGAGATGGGGGGGGGCAGGTCTAGGTTTTGATATTATTTGGCCATGGTGTTAGCCGTGGCTGGAATGGAGCTCTGGTTCCTCTGCGGTTAACAGTCGAAGCGTGCTGACCAGCTTGTTATGTAGGCAGTGATCATGCCCCGTTTGCAGCTCCGGATCCAGTGGTGAAAATGTCCACATTTCACAACCACTGTTGGCTTCTCGACAAAACACGGTACTCACTTTATTGACCTCGGAGGGATGATGGGCTGAGTCAATTCCCCCCCCCAACAGGATTTGAACTCCCAAAACCTTCCTCTTGTGAACCGCTCACTCGACCACTGAGCCACCTGGTCCGTAATTTATTTGAAACTTCTGCCATTTCCCAAGCAATTACTTCATACCTGCATGTCTTTTTAATTGCAAAAGTTTAGCACCAGTGTAATGTGAAATAGAACAAATGATTCCAGGTGCAAAAGCCATTACCGTGCACTGTTGGCTCCGTCCGGTGCAAAATAAGTTCAACAAACATACGTGACCGTGTTTTTTGCAGTGCTCTTTGCAAAGACTACTGCTACCTGAAAAGACGATTGTTAAATATGTATTGTGTGTTTGTGAGACACAGAATCTCTTCTTGCTGCAGATAATGTTTAACAACGTGGGACAGGTTGAAGTTGCAATGTCAAGACAATGGCAGAGCACCACTGTAGATTTAATCGCACAGAACTTAAAGTTTAAAGAAACAAACAAACAACAAACATGTTTTTCTGAAATCAATTTATGTTTTAGGGGGCTCCCTTCTCAATCTGGGGGTGGAGCGTATTGCTCATGTTTAATTTATTTTTTGTCGCACCAACCGTGCTAATCGGAGGTACAGTGGCATGTGCACTGCGCCACAAACCCTGCTACCTCGGTTCGGTTCCCAGCCGTGGTTAATGTCAGTGGTGAGACGATATTTAAACTGGCCCTGCCTGCCTCCCCCCACGATTGATGCTGCGTGGGGAGGCATTCATTAAGCGGTGGGTTGTTTGAGGACTGTTTTCAACTATTTTCAATGTGATCCATGAAATTGGGGAAACAGATTAATTATTTGCCGATGCTGCATTGTCAATGGCGCATGAGCACGAATAACAAAAATGATTCGACACGTTCGTCAATAACACTGCCTTGAAAGGACAAGTGTATTATTATAGGTGACTTTTCAGGTAATCGCCGCTGTCGCTGCTGCTGCCACCGCTGCCGCTGGTGGAGAAGGGCCATTTGAACATCATGGTGATACCCCCGGGGTACCATAGTACCCCGGCTCTCGAATAATGTCCGTGATGCAGTCATTTTTAGTCTGTTGATGGTCGGCGATCCGGCAATCGACTCATCTCGACGAGCTGTACATGATGTACCACTACGGTGCATACGAGCGTTCAGGGTTTCAGCGCAATCGTCCTCGCTGCGTTTCGACATCGTAGAGTGTGGCACTGATTTCGGATTGATTGGTAGCCCAGTTGCGGAGTTAAGTACACCCCTGGAAAAAAGAGTGTCCCAGAAATAAAATATTTAATTGCCTCGGCTATTTTGTATTGTTTGGTACCCCGGAGTACAGCCATAAGGATCACTTGCCGAAACGTCACCTGCTACATGTTTTTTTCCTTTCATGGCAGTGTTATTGATGAATGTGAGTGTTTTCGTGAAATTGGTGACTTGTCAGCCAGCTGACGTAATAATGTGAATGCTGGAAGCCCTAGTGCTATTTTTATCGCATTTTCTGAGCACAGGCCCAAAATGCCTAGCGACCATCAACAAACAGAGGAGGACTATTGAGGATGTAATAGATACAACTCAATATGTTCCTTGATTTGAGCCATGTTATAAGTCCTTGGGAAAATATCCCATGGGAGCGAATGCCAAAATTGAGCAGCACGAGCAGGAGCAAATAAAAAGCATAAAGAGAAGTGGTCTGACCTGCGGTGTGGTGTTGGAACATGGTAAGAATCGGACGAAACAGTTGGCCTGTTGGACCGAGTCGTCCAAGTGGGTGGAGGAATCGATGATCATGTGAGTAAAGTTAGATATATTTTGCGACCTTCTTACAAGCTCGACATTTTTTCCAGGAAGTGTGGGCACCCTGGAGGGACCAATGTGACCTTACTACGCACCGACATTTGGTGAATGCTTGGACTGTTGCACCGAGAGATATTTCACCTAACTTCATGATGCGCCGTTGCTGTATTAAAACAGAATTTTATGAGCTGTGAAGTGTTGTGAAAATGAATCCCGGTTATAAAAATGCCCTCCCAGTGTTTCTACCCACAGCTCTGGTTAACATTATAGACCCAGATTACTATAGTATGCTTTCTTCGGCCATGTGAAGCTGAATGGACTTATGAAAAAGTCATGTTTTCAGCAATATTCAGACAGCACATGCGATGGACACAGCAAGAGCTCCAAGCTTTAATATCACTGTGGCATTGTTGAAATGCAACGTGATTGAATTTATTTCATGCATGAGTTGATTTAGAATATTCGTTTAATATTTAAACAATATATTTTTCGGGCCAAATTTGTATGACCTGAAAGTAAAATATAATGGAAAAAAATGTTCACGTAATTACAAACTTTGAATGTATACTTCAAATTACTTTTCTTCCAGAGGACGTTCAGTGACAAACATTCTAATATTTGCGGTTATTATCACACTCCATTAGTATTTCATCTTTTTTTTTCGACAGTGCCTATCAAAAGCGATCTGCTTTTGTGTGCTGGGCAAGGCACTGCAGAATTCACCTGGGGCTGGGTGGCCCCCACAGTGCGCCTCTTCCATTTTCTTTATCTCAGGGTCGATGATTTTTTGGAAAATGACTGTTGGTCCTCTTGTTGACCTTTAATTCAAGCTACAAATCTCCGGCTAGCTTTTTGTGTAAGGCCAGGCATGACATAGTAAAGTGTTTGCACTCCATAAAGAGTAAACCACTGCACTATTGGTCCAGCTATTCCACTGAGAGATCAGCAAGTGCAGGACGGTCATGATGTAGGTATAGTTGTCCCCTTATTTATAGGCTTCGCATGAACACGCTTTGATGCAATATGAAGAACCGACATGCTTGTTCAATTTACATTGATGTTGAGCATTTACTGACGGCGATGTGGACTAAAACTGCCCTCTGAGTTTGCAGGTGTAAAGTTCATAGCTGTACAATGACGATAATGGTTAAAGACCTAGATGGTGGCAAGCACCAAGGATTAAAGTAAGATTATGACCGAGTGAGTGTAGGGTTACTACGCAGCGTGTCTTAGTTGTGATGTACAGCTCTCCCGTGTGTTTTCTCGTCATGCTGTACGTTGTTCAGCAGTATGTCCGATGTTTCGCGTCATGTTGCAGCGGGTGAAAAGTCAGAAACATTGGACATCATGCAAAACAACGTGGGGTGCCACCCGAAATAATCTTTGGAAACGTAATTGTACTCTTTGTTAAATGGATAGTCTGGCTGTTATATCATTGCATTGTTAATACTAACACACTGCAGCAGAAGCGCAAATCCTTTACGGCTGTACTGCGGTGTCCTCGAGTTTAAGAGGCTTTTGTCCCTTCTCTGCACTCCCTTCTCCTCCTCTCGCACCTCTCCCTGCCCTCCTGTGCTGCGCGTGTGCCGTGCGTGAATGTACGCCGTGTGGTACGCGCGCATGTGCGTGCTGCCACGTGTGTGTGTGCGTGTGCGCGCGTGTGCCTCTACACAGCGCGCGCGTGCGAGCTCGCGCACGCCTTACCAGCCGCCCGCGGACTCGGGCAGCGGCGTGCCCCGCTGTCTCCAAACTGGTGACACATTTCTGTGGGGCGCCCAGTCCAGTCTAACCCGCTGCTAAAGCTTCTGGGCACCTGCCCTGCACTGTAAGTGTCTGCTGCACATTGGCTGTGGGCTGCAGTCATTTAATAAACAGAGTTAGCTGCTCCATTAATTCCAATCTTTGTGCTCCTTGGCCATGCCAGAAAATGACATGCAAATGGATTCGCTTTGTTTTTGTCTCAAGCTGATGTTGTTACCGCTCGCATTTGCCACTTTTCCCATTTCAGATGGACAGTGTTTTCTTTTGCTTTGCATGGGGCTGTGCTTTGTGAATGGATACATTTTAAAATTATTTTTTGTAAATTTATTCCACTTTTGTTGTTGTTTGACGCTTCGTGCATGCATATGCCTGAATGTGAGTATGCAACTACTGGCTCTTAAGTAGTTGCAGGTCAGTGTTACAAATACGCGTTTGCATACAAAACAACGTGCATGCAACTTATTCAGTTTTTTATGGGAATATTCTTTTGAATACTATTTATAGCATGAATGTCTGCACACCACTAATGTTTTTGTTGTACAAATGCTATTAAGCGTGCAGTATATGCAATGTAGTTTAATTTCACTGCTATCCTTAGTCCACCATGAAAATGTGGCCTAGATGGTTTTTGTACCTGGATATACATAATGGATCAATGATAATAATGTTTTCGCTTTACAATACTCCAATAGCACAGATTTTTTTTTACATTAGGTGTCATATATTTAAGCAATATTTCTGCGGAAAATGTGTGGCAGATGACATTCAGTATTATATTTACAGTAACCAATTGGTTCATCATCCACCATAATCTATCCACTGCTGGATGAAGCCCTCCCCTTTCCTTAACCATCCTCATGGCCCTACGAAGAAACAATGCATCCCATTTCTGCACGAGCTGATCTCCCCACTCCATCTCTTGGGTTTGTTATTTCCTTTGGCTGTCATTCCATCATGGGTCTTTTTCCATTGGCCATCGTTCCGCACACTTAACAGTCAAAATAATGCCTCAATTATGTTTGTTCCCTGATGCATGTTTAATTCCCAGCATGTATCTCTCCATGCTTATTGGCACACTTGTTCGCTTTTGTTGCATGCTGTTTGTCAATCTCCATGTTTCTCACTGATATGTCATGTCCTGTTATATGCACTGATTGAAAACTTTATTTTTCAGGCACATTTATCACAGTAATGTATTTTTATGAAATATGTTTGAATGTTGTTTTTAGTTTAAGAATTTCAGTTTTCTAAAAGCACTTCATCCTGTTTCGATTTAAAGCTTTCGTGACTGCAGGAAACAGAGCTGTCGGAAAGACAGCTCTGTTTCTTCACCTGAGGACGGCTGCTTGCGTTGTGGCCGAAACGTCGTGATAATTTGATTATATTATGTTTTATTTTTATTATTTTATTATTTCCCTTCTACATTACTTTAAAGAAAGAACCAAGAATACACTTCACCCTGCTTTATTTCTTCATTTTGATCTCTAGCCTCCTCCGATAGATCACCCACGTGACACATTCAGTTGTTTTATCTCTCGAAAATGAACTTCTTTTGCTCAGCAAACTTGTTGCATATTGTTTGTCATGTTTATTTTGTGCCAAAAATTGCACCCGTCTTTGTAACATCACATTAGATTGGCCGACAAGATATTCGTTATAATATCCAATTGAAACGAACTACAATAAATTATTGAAGAAGTAAATTGTTTACTGTTATGTGAGTACAAATGATGAATTAGTTTAAGTGCTCCCAGTTGTTCTGGGTACCATTTGTAACTATTAGCCTTTTTTTTTTACAAAGGATGAAATGAGGACACTTACAACTAATACACAAAATGTACAGTTATACAAACAACAACGGAAACATTGCAACGTCTGTAATTCCTCTTGCATACTGCATGTTGTCCAAACTATCAAGGTATTAAAATTGGTTGAAGCGAAAAAAATAGGAACACGTTTCCACGTGAAACTTAGAAAATGTGAAATCTGAAAATTTGTACGAATATAATTCAATAATTACTTGTGTGCTATTACGTTTGACATTTCTGAAACTTACCAACGGGACTGAATAGATGAGCAACAGTTACACATCGGTGTTAAATATGAGGCTTTTGGGATATGAACTGGCAGATGCTCTCAGTGCTGCTGTGGGTGCACTGTGTGTTTATGTGGCTATGGGGGTAGTCACAAGACCCATGTGCACATGTGGGTATGTAGAGAGCAGAAGTAATTACGCATAATTCAGATGTTATCCTGTATGAATAGGCCATGTTAAAGCTTTGTGTGAAGTAATGCTTTTTTTACAATTTAATTGTGTATATATATATTTTAAATATAGTTATTTTCAAAGTCAAAGTGGTTTCCTGCTTTCTTTAAAAATTGGGCAGTATTAATCTCCTATTTGCTCTGAGCCGGTGGTTGAAATTCCACATTCCTTTCGATGGTGGGGTCGCGAATCCTGAGGACAACCACAATTGACATCCACACAAAGCGACGTTCTTACTTTATTGATGCTGGAGAGAGAGGTTTAAAGAATCTCCACCTCGAGTTCTGAACCAAGTACATGTCCGATTGCAAGCTGCACACATTGTAACCATTACACCACCGGCCAGCTAATGTTCCTTAAGCTTTCAAAATAATTATTTTATGATAAGGAATAGAGAATAACAATTCTTGAAAAATATTGAGTGATTAATTATCTTATTAAAAAAAAGGTATTGTACAACCTGAAATGAAAATATATATGTTACAATCCCCCAAACAAGAATCACCAAATTTGGGTGGTGCTGCAGTGGTAATTTAACTGCGCTATAAACCCAGAATTCGATTTCTGGCCATGCCTAACTTCTAACTTCATTGGCAAGTGATATTTTTACTGCTCCTGCCCCCCCCCCCCTTGACCGACACACTAACCAGAATGGTGAGGTATGGTCAAACAACCCCACTGACTGACACGACATATGGCCTTTATTCAGCATCTAGATTCGCAGAGATCAGAAATTATTAAACACCAGAACATCAGAAAGGTTACTAATGAGAGGGGGCCATTCGGTAGATCCAACTCATTCGGGCACGACAATTATCTTCTGTGGTCTGACAGTATGGGGCGATGATTTATATGGATAATCCCAATTAATTTATGCAAGTACAATTTCAGAGATTTCAAATTTCGAGCACGATGCCAGCAGAGAAATGGCTTACTCTTGCAAAAGATGTCACCTGATCTCTAACGTCCACTGTGAAGAAAATTGTGAACATTTATTTTTATTGTTGACATGCGCAGTATTCATCAGGGTGGCCGCTGGATTCAAACCGTGAACCGATGCAAAAGTGGCCAATGCGCTACAGCTAGGCCATGTCACCAGCCCATTCGCATTATCATGGTGAAGTAAAATTGTCTATTTTGGTAAGTAATTTGGAAATATCTATGGTACATGTCTTCAGTAGCATTGGGAAAGCTTTAATCATTTGCAGCAATGACGTAAGCATACAAACATGAACTTTAAAATACGTGGCTTACACTGGCTGTGGAATGCGTCTACCCATTTGACACACATGTTATTTCGTCAAGATGGTTTATGCGTAAAAGATTCCACATTGTTAAAATGTAAACACAAACCATTATCAGTTAATCCTTTGATCTGTGTTAAGTGAGCAATGGTTAGCACACTGCACTTGCAATCTAGATACATGGGTTCGATCTCCCAGAACAGAGCTGCAAGTTATTATTGTTATTTTTATATATCTCCCCACTCCTGTCTGCTCAGAAGTGTCAATGGGTACACCCACAGTTAATCGACCGGCAGCCCTCATGTGGTGGAGTAATGTGTAGGGACTCCTACCTCTCCCAGGATGTCTGGCGAGTGTGAGAGCAAAATTTGTGCCAAATTACCCCTCGAGTGGTCTGTCTAGTTGGGTCCCTTCGGCCAGAAGTGGCGTGAGTGAAATCGCAGGGCTGCGCTTCTACGCTTTTTACTTTTTAAATTAGTTATTTTTCAACAATAACATTTGTTGAACGCATTAGCGGCAAACAATCTGTGCACATTAGATACTAAACCTCGATCAACACGTCACCTTCATGCCATCTGTTTTTGTATTTTTTACGTGCTTAATCTTTTTTAGATTAGAAAATAACCACTATACTTCACCTAAGTTAATGTAATAACAAAATCCTTCAAACAACATAATAAATGTTTTGTCCGCTATTATAGGTCTCGAGTATCAAAAAAATAGTACTTAATACTTTGCATGTGTTTCAGCACAATTGCAAATAGATTTTCCGTCTTAAATATCGCGTGGCTAATGACCGCTGTACAATCAATACAAGGCATCTTTCAAAGCCAAACATTGACTTTTCCTCTTCTTGATTTCCTCGTGGGAATGTCCGCCGCTACTAATTAATTCGAGCGTCGTGCGCATTGAAAGTCTCTAAAGCCCTCCAGATTGGCGAGCACTTTGGTTGCAGCCCCTCATAAAGTCGACTTGCAACAGCGTTGGCTGCCATACCTCGTCTCTCACACTCATTAGTCAAGTCATAGCAGAAGTCGCGCCAAATACTTTGCCAAAAACACGGCCGCTGGCAACCGTATCTTGTGTTTTTTGAGTAACTGTTTGAAAGCAATAAACAAGTAATGATAAGTAATAATCGTATGTACACGTGTACGTATAGAGAAGGCCTATTATATTACTATACATCTTATTGATGTTATTTTTTTTATGCATGTTTAAATATGGTATTGTTTTTTTGTAGCAGTCCAAGGTCCTTATGGTGAGCTCTGGCTTGCAGATCGCACTCTGCGTGGTTAATATCAAGTGATTGGTTAACGGGTATTCATCCTTTGCCTGCGCCATAATTAAATGTTGCGCAATTTTGGAATTCCATATACAGCACTTCATGTGTCACGTTCATTCTATCTGGCCAGGTGGCTCGGCAATAGAGCGAGCAGCTCACAATGAGAAGGTTGCGAGTTCGAATGCCTGATGGGGGGGGGGGGGATGACTCAGCCCATCATCCCTCTGGAGGTCGATAAAAAGAGTACTGCTTTTGGGGGAAAGTCAACAGTG